ATAAACATTTTATAGTTAAATTGTTACTTAATATAAAAATGCATCATTCTTTTTGGGATTGACTAAAAAAGAAAGTAACTCACATAAATTGGGACGAAGGGAGTAATATTCTACAACAACAAGTTATATGATGATGCTAAAAATTATTTAGTGTTTACGCCAAATAAATTAATGGAAGACATGTATTTTTAAATACATATATTATCAGCTAATTATGATTAAATGATATGTATTTTAATTTTACTTGTTAATTGTTATGGTGATATTGTTTGATTTCGTGTAAATATTGAGTGTCAAGATATAATTGTAAAAAAAGAGTCTAATTTTTCTAGCCCCAACTCCTTTCCCATGTAATGGTGTGAAGCCAATTTTTCAAACATTTGTTAAATATTCTAATTCCTACATAAGAAAAAGTTGAGTTTAGAATCTTGCTTTTATTCTCACATAACGTATAACGTACTTGTAGGTTGAAATAGTTTATATATATATATTTGGCGGCGAAAGGGCTAATATTAATGTAGGGATAGGAACAAGAGTAATAATACAAATATATAGAATAATGTTGGCGTCCATAGAGTATATTGATTGTCCAACTCAAACAAAATAGAGAAGTATCGAGAACATTCTTTAATTTGGTGTAAATTATTAATTTTATCCCTAAATTATTGAGAGTCTTAAAAATATTTATTTACTTAATTAACAGAACTTAAATACACCCCCGATCTAACAACATGAGTGAAATACACCCCTAAATTCTCGTTAAGTTTAGGGATATTTTCAACGCCTCTCTTGGCTATTTATTAAGAGTCTCATGTTCCTATAAGAGTTTAAGACCATTTGTTATGTCATGTGGCATTTCGGGGATGTACCGGGGGTGTATCTATTTAGTCATTCAAGTAGAGGGGTGTTTTTAGGTTGTCAATAGTCTGGGAGCATAAATAATAATTTGTGTCAAGATTAGACGTGTTTTTAATACTTCTCTCGACAAATTATTTAAAAGTGGAAAAGTTTTAAAAGAAGAAAAGGAAAACAATATTGAGGGATATGTTTTCTAAAGTAAAAATTACATCCATACTTGCAAAACCAAACTTGAACAAATAACAGCAATTTGCAACTTAAAAACCAAGAAAGTCTCAAGCAAGGAACATGTCTGCCTTGGACATAGCAAGAGTTGTCATCTGATTGGCTGTTGACCAAAATAAAATGGGTGCTACAAGAAAAATATGGACACTTTTAAACCTCAAGAAAACAAAACATATTATTACTTAAGGGCCGGGGTCATTTGGTTCAAACAACTTAGGTAGGGAATAACAATGGAATTAATTAATAACATGGAGATTAATTAGTAATATTGAATTGCAATGTAGGTGTTAATATACCATAAATTAGCAATACAAGGATTATTGTTTTAGGACCCAAATTTCCCTAACCGTCATTGGCATCTAACAACTCCCTTATTGAGTGAATCATAAATATAAAACCTATAATATGAACTCAAATCCTAGAATCGTTGTTTAGGAAACAATGTGGTTAATGTAACTTCAAGTTGGGAATAACTTGAAAAGGGTTGATGATCTTATTGATTCTTGAAGCTTAGGAATTAGAGTAACTTCCTAGATGGCAATGGTTTATTATTTGAATTTTGTTGAGACTTATTGATTTAGTGAAGTTGGAAGAAATTGTTACGATCCAAAGTCTCAGGTCATGATGACACCTACTAACACACACTAGAAGGCAAGCTAAACCCATAGCCCGAAACCAAAAGCAACGGGTTATCAAGCGTAAGAGAAACATATAGAAAGGAAGGAAACAACACAAGAATAAAGGAAAGAGGTAGATAATATACATACAAACATCCCCAAGACTTGGTATCAGTCGATAATCGAGCTACTTATTCCAATAGAGTACTAGATAATTACAAATATATACAAAACCATCTCAAAATGTAAAATAAATACTAGTCCTAGTCAAAATAGAGGGAGATTGACAACTCCGAACGTCAGGAGCTCACTCAGTCTCTGAATCATAAAGCTGCTCAGCATACGACATTCGTCAATGACGAGAACTCATAATATGATCTGTAGGGTGAAGAAGTGTAGTATAAGTACCAACAAGCGGTACTCAATAGACATAAACCGACTGAGCTTCAAAGATTAAAAAAAAAAAGTATAAATAACAAGTAAGGAAGGTACAATAGAAACAACTAAAGAAGGGATAGATTAAATGAAGCAAATAACTGAGTCAAGTGAACATACCTAGAGGTGCTAGCCCAACAACCTAATTCCTACGAGAGTCCACTATGAAAGTCAACGAACCAAATATTAGAGATATAATAACGACAATCACTGCTATACATCACAACAACCCATAGGACAATCCAACCCAACCAAATAAGAAACCACCAATATAGGCAAGTCCAAGTAATTCATATAACCCGCTATCAAGCCAACACAAGATACACAATTATAGTCAAACAATAATTTAACCAGACCCCTATAAGTTCGGAAGGTACACAACAACAAACATAATACATGAACTTCATTTATTTATGTATACATATTCCTATTAATCATTTTGGATAAGAATGTATATTTTAGAATGACGTTTAAAATGGTGACTTTTGAAGTGATTTTTCAATCTATAAATAGGATTGTCATTCATCATTCACCATTGTAAATGACACTTAAAAATATTTGAATAAGATGATCTTTACATTGTACTCTCTTCATATCTTTTGTCTATTTCTTATTCTGTATTACTCATGTTTTAAAATAAATATCACTTATTTGTAAAAGTTAAAAGACAAATATAATCCTTTTTTATATTTAATCCATACAAATATTTAACTGAGTTGATGAATACTCTCTAAAAAATGTAGCCTCTATTTAGAGATAGCTTAATCTAAGACTAGGGGTGTACATGGCCGGGTTGGTTCGAGTTTTTCAAATATCAAATCAAACCATTTGTGTCGGATTTTTAAATTTATAAACCAAACCAAACCAATAAAACTCGGGTTTTTCAACCTCGGGTTTTTTCGGATTTTTTTATTTTTCGGGTTGTTTCGGGTTTTTCCGGTTAAGTATTCATACAAACATATAATTTACTAGTACTTCAAATATTTCTTTAATCCTACCAAAATACAACTATCTAAGATGTTTCTTAAAAATATAACACAATATGATATGATTAATGACACTAAAATATCAAACAAAAATAACAATAATGAAATCGCGTAAAACAAATATTGCAAATTAACAAGTCATAATGAAAATGATCATAATTAAAAGTACTAAATCATGCTAAAATTAAGTTTAATAAGTATTAGTTACATGACTAAATATTAAAGGAAATTTAAATTAGATTATGTATTTTAATTGTCTAAACCAATGTAAAACTAAAGAACAAATATTCAATATTATTGTCATTCTTAGTGTTGAATTGATTTTCTTTTTACATTAATATTCATTTGATTTTGATTTAAGCTTTATTATAATTATCAACATTTGTGGACTATAATCTTTATTGGCCTATTCATAATTCTAAGTTCAAACTTGAAATAATATATTAAAAGATAAAAAACTATGAAAAAGTATAAGAAATATTTAAAAATTATATCAAAGTAAATATTTTTATGTATAAAAATAAAATTTTAAAATTATATATATAATGTCGGGTTGGTTTGGTCTCGGGTTGGTTTTTTTTTAGTTAAAACCAAACCAACTCAAATATAGTCGGGTTTTTTTTCAAAACCAAACCAAGTCAAACCAAACCACTAGTCGGGTTTTTTTTTCGGGTTAACTCGATTTGCGGTTTGATTTGATTTTTGATTCGGTTTGTACACCCCTATCTAAGACCCTATGTTTGCCACCTTTCGATTAAAAAAAAAAAAAGAAGCCTTTTCTATGAATGTCCCACATTTCTCTTGGTAATTTAATATTTGGACAGTTTTGTTTTCCATTTCGAAAGGATATTTGGATGCTCTTTACAAGGTTGATTAGGATATAATAACAACATATCAGTGAAATTTTACAATGCGGAGAAGATTAATTAGGATACGAATCCCAAAAATAATTGGAATGTATTTGGGAACCTTTTTCTTATTGTAGATCTCCTTAAAATATGGAGCCACCCAACGATTGGCAAAATCTTTTTCCATGTGATTGCATATCATTTTATTATATTTTCTATTCCTACGTCTAAACTTTCCACATTCATCACTGAGCAAATAAACATAAGTTTATGGAAAAAATAAATCATGTAATAGAAAGGTTAATACTGTATTTATTTCCTTTCAGTGTATGCAAAATCAGCTAATTTAATTTGGCCTAAATAATCAAACCTTAAAGGGAGAAGAAAGGTTTCCTCCATTTTAGTTTGTTAATTCGATCTATTTTGACTTGATATAGAATATAAGAAAATAATTAAAACTTTTGAATGTTGTAGTTTTAAATAAATATCACGTGGAAAGTTAGAATTAAAGAGTTACTAAAAAGAAAAAAAATATTTTTTTAAAACGGACTAAAAAGGAAAGTAGGTAAAACAAATCGAAACAAAGAAGTACATATTAAACATGGTTAAGTGATAGTTATATATATGAAGTCACATATCTTATATTTTGTGAGTACTCCTTTTATTTCAATTTGATTTTATGATTTTAACTTCACAAAGAGTTAAAAAGAAAATAAATACTAAAACTTTTAAATTTATAAATATCAAAATATCTTATGATCTTAAACACGTCACCACCACCCCATATCCATAGGCCCATACCCTCACCCCCGTGGATGATAAAAAAAGGGAAATAATAGAAAAAAATTAAAGTAGGAAAATATACGTACGCTACCAAGTTACCATGTGTTTTCTGTTTGTTAGTTATAAAGAAGAAATAAACAGTAAAATTGACTCAATTACGGCTTAATTTTCTCTTTGATTTTCCCTATAAATACCCTTTTTCAAATACTCCATTTCCTCACCACATCTTCAACATTATAATACCAAAAATGAGTTACATTATTCTTTTCCCACTTATTCTCATGAACATTATCATCTTTTTATTCAACTCATCAATAGCTGCAAATTCCATGTACAATGTCCAAAGCTATGGAGCCAAATCTGACGGAAAATCGGATTCATCCAAGGCGTTCATTAGTGCATGGACTGCAGCGTGTGCATCAAGTAGCGCGGCCACCATTTACGTGCCAAAAGGAAGTTATCTTCTAAGTAATGCATATTTCTATGGCCAAACATGTAAGAGTAATGCCATAACGATAAATATTGAAGGTACACTTGTAGCTCCTTCTGACTATAATGTTATTGGCAAATCTGGTAATTGGATTAAATTTGAACGAGTCAACGGAGTTTCTATCGTTGGTGGAACTCTAGATGGACAAGGTACCGGTCTTTGGACATGCAAAAACTCTGGCAAAGGTTGTCCCAAAGGAGCCACGGTATGTTTCGTTCCACTATACTTAATAACTTTAAATTCTGGATTCACCTCTGAATATTAAATAGTGCAGACATTAGCTTTCTACAACTCAAATGACATTGCAATAAGTGGATTAACTTCACAAGACAGCCAGATGTTCCATATTTTGTTAGACAGATGCCATAATGCAAAGTTACAAGGAGTGAAGATTTCAGCACCGGGAAATAGCCCCAACACTGATGGAATTCATTTACAATCATCTTCTGATGTTACTATCTTGAATTCCCAAATTGGAACTGGTGATGATTGTATCTCAATTGGTCCTGGCAACTCCAACTTGTGGTTCGAAAACATTGCTTGTGGCCCTGGCCATGGAATAAGGTCCTTAAAAATACTTTCTCTATCTCAATTTATGTGACACCGTTTGAGTATATTCAAATTTTAATAAAAGAAGGATCTGATCTAAAACAAACCTTATATAGCAACAGTGCATTAAGGATAAAAACTTAATTTTAGAGTAAAGTTTTTTTAATTATTGAAATGAGACAATTCTTTTTTGGATAGACTAAAAAGGAAAGTGCGTTGCAATGGTTTTTCCCACCTGTGGTAAATTTGTGCTATAGAAAATGATTATTCCACTCATTTCTCACTGAATCAATTCATTGGAAAAACATATATATGGTGGAAAACACATTCTCACTGAAATAGTGAGAAACTTCCAATTTTTTTTTTTATGTATGTAAACATTGTACTACTTTTTTTGTTTTCTCACCGTTTCAATTTAATATCGGTGGAAATATCATTAAACATTTTTCAATAAGAAAATAGTGTTTTTTTTAAAAGTGAACTGGGGGAGTACCTCTTTTTATTATAAAATGATCACTTGCTAGCTAGGAATGAATAGTTATGAGTGTGTTTTTGTATGAATGGAGATGTTCCATTTTTATTTTTATTTTATATAAAATTCAACTAATTAATATTTCGGATTGGTGTAGCATTGGGAGCTTAGGTTGGGAGATGCAAGAGGCAGGAGTACAAAATGTGACAGTTAAAACATCATCATTTACTGGGACTGAGAATGGTGTGAGGGTCAAAACATGGGCAAGGCCTAGCAATGGCTTTGTTAGGAATGTACTTTTTCAACATGTAGTCATGAATAATGTCGAAAATCCCATCATCATTGATCAAAATTACTGCCCTGGTAGTGGAAATTGTCCTGAACAGGTAATACAAAATCATATACGTGCATAACTCTTACCAGCTACAAAATCAATATCTCTAATTATTATTTCGTTTCGTGTGAATACTTTTTTTTAGGGTTCAGGCATCAAGGTTAGTGACATAACGTATGATGACGTACATGGAACATCGGCTACAGAAGTTGCAGTGAAATTCGATTGTAGCAAAACAAATCCATGTAATGGAATAAAATTATTGGATGTGAAACTTAGTTATAAGGATCATCCAGCAGAAGCTTCATGTGTTAATGCTGGAGGAATGGCTTCTGGTCTACAACAACCTACTAGCTGCTTACAAGTTTGAACAAAACAAGAGGAACATTCCATTTTTTATTATAAATATTTAAATTTATATTTACATAGGGAGATTAAAATTATAGTAGTATACTATAGGAGTTATTTTTTTTTTCTTTTAAAATGACATTAGACTTGCTTGAGCTTATGGTTGCAATAAATTTAGCCTTCTTGGAATTGCGCCTGGCCTTGCAAGATCATTGTTCTGGTTCCTCAATATATTGGATGTGATATATTAAATTTAGTTTATCTCAAACATGCATTTTGGAGTTTGTTTTATCTTCTCTATTTCAATTCATATGATATAATCTAAATTTTGAGGGTCAAATAAGAAAATATTTCTAACTTATATATAGTATTTTTTTTTGCAGATTCTAAATATATAAATAATTTTTAAAATATTCTACGGAAAATGATCTAAATTTCTTATGAACCGTGCGAAATAAATCATTTATACCCTTAATTATATTTTGGAATAAAAAATATCTCCGCTGTTATCTAAAGAGACCACAAACACCCTTAATGATAAACAACCCAATTTTTTTCAGTAACGTGGCAAGCCACGTGGACTAGTACATCCATCTAAGTTTTGTCAACTAGGATTCACTACAAGAAACTAGACCCTTAGCAACCACAAAGGTCACCACAAATCCCAGAGTATCGTCAACACCAAATTACATTTTCACTGATTTTTAACATTAGATTATAAGTATATGATTTTGTGTTATTTTCTTCGTAACAGTGATATTGTTTTTTAAAAATCACAAATAACATCAATCAATGATGAATTTAAAGACACTATATGTTTTTTATGTCATGTAAATGCATTAAATGTACAATGGTGCCTTATATAGTAGGAGATCCAAGTTGAGATGTAATTTTGATGCTTTTCATAATAATATTGGTTGTTTTAAATATTGATTTCACCTGAATTTGGTGGACCTCATTTAGCTTGGGGACTTGTTCAAAATCATATAAATGAAGGATTTAAAATTCAAAGTGAATTTTTGCATGTGGTAGTTACTTTTACTGAACAAAACTTCATTCGTATCCCTATTAATTATTCTTCTTTCATTATCTATTGTTTATCTACATGAACAAAAGGTGTTGTTACTATTTCAAAACACAAAAATACTTGATTTGCATATTACTAACTTTCTAACTTATCTTTCATAAAAAAACGGCTGACCTAGGTTTCTTCCTAGCCAGCGGCTGCGCAGCTCTCATGGCTGCTACAACCACTGGACGGCCTCCTTTTGTGGTTGTCCAGCCCGCCCCACCACCCCAAACCACAATATACGCCATCATTTTCAATTCCAATACTATAAATTCTAAACAATCTGCCCTAATTAACTCAAAAACAATCGCAAAATCAATCGAAATAATTCATGGAGAACCTACTATCACGTTTTCAATGGAGGAAAGGCAAGACTTTATGATTGAAGAGGGATTGCATCAAGAAGTATTGTTTAAATTATCCCATGGTGCGCCAGATTTGAAGGTATTAAGGTCAATTTTAGCGAAACATCTTGGTACCAAGGGCAATTGTTTAATTGTCTTACTTGCTCCAAGACAAATTTTGTTGAGATTTGATCAATATGAAGATTATGTACTAACTTTATCTCACTCAGTTAGTTGTCTTTTCTACAATGGAGGCGAGCACCAATGTAGGGGTTTTCCATGGTCCATTGGATATAATCCTAAGGAGGAAACGACGTTAGCTGTTGTTTGAATTTCTTTACCGAACTTATCTCCAGATATGTTTGCAAAGAAGTCTCTGTTGTCTATAGCATCGGCAATTGGGAAACCAATAGCTATAAATAAAGCTACTCAAATCAAGTCAAGACCTAGCACAACTAGGGTCAAGGTTATACTTGATCTAATGGAAAAGCTTCCAAATCGTATAAGATTGCAGTTTGTGGATGGAAAATCTAGTAAGTTGATCGAAGTTTTTCAGGAGATTGTATATGATAATGTACCTTTGTATTGCAATTATTTTAAGCACAAAGGTCATGATGAAGATAGTTGTCGTTTGATCTCGAAAAGAAATCAAAATAACAAACAAATTGATGATACCATTGAAGTTGCTTCAAAAGGTACTATCAATAGTGAAAAGTATCAAGTTGGTGCGAGAGAAATACTAAATGAAAAAAGAACGGTTGTAGATGTCGATCAAAGTAAAGCTACTTCTTTAGATCGACAATTGGTTGATGTCACTTCTGAGAAAAATCGTGCACACTCAATGGATGTTGTTATAAGTAATATTGGTGTTCAAACAACTACCGAAAACAAAGGGGGGACGCCAAGAGTTAGGGTTGATGCGCCGCGAGTTGATTCATGCAAAAAAATAATGGATTCAGGACACAAACTAATGGATACATCTGATGTTGAAGATGCTGAAAATTTTGGGCAACATGTTTTGCAAGTTGAAACCAAGAATGTAACTAAAAATTGGACACTGGTTGCACACAAAAATTCAACTAGTAATCGGAGCCTTTCCCCGACTAGTCAAAATAATTCTCCATGTAGTGAAAAGGGTGCGACTGGGAATTTTCATGACGGTGAGAAGAGACAAGATATTAGTAATGCCTCAAGAGACCTATTATGTTCGAATAGCTTTGATGCTTTATCGAAGACTACTAGAAAGCTAGTAAAGTTAAAAGAGAATAACAACTATTTGATCCAAGAAAAGCAGGTCTCACCACCTACTTTGAATTGCAAATTAAGTCCAGAGGCTCCTGCATTTGTGCCTAAATGTGTGATTGCAAAGAAGAATGAGTTAAGGGCCTTAGTGTCAAATACAATTGATTTGGGCGAGGATTCTCTTGATGAAGACGAGGAAGACAATATGCTTGATTTGGGCAAGGATTCTCTTGATGAAGATGAGGAAGACATGTTGGACATATGCTTTGATAGAGTGGGTAGGGAAGGAGATATATCACCTAGGCAACAAAGAAGTGGAAGCAACAAAAGCAAAAATAAGACATATGGAGGCAACATAGTTGGGACGGTAAAATGACTGAGTAGTTTGTTCCAAGGTACCTACCGATGCGACAGGCAAAGCAGAACCATTTGACAATATCAATAGGTTCAACAAGATCCAATAAATCCATAAAGAAAGTATGAATTATCAAATGTTGTTGGATAGGTTTGAAGAAGAAGACGAGAAAAATACTTCAAGTTACTTTTGATGCGCAATCAATCTTTAATTCATGCGTTTGTAATAGAAAGTTTGAGGCTGATAACTCAACTTGCTTCTTGATTGGCATATTTTTACATTATTTAAGCATCCTCATTTGTAATATCATCATGGAGTGTATTACAAACTCTGTAGTGATCAGAAAATACTTAGTTCTCTCTAGCTCTTATTTTCTTCATGCTTGTTAGATAGTAGACCTTAGGTAATTCATTAGGATTAGTAAGGTAAGGTCTAGCTCTCTTTGCTTGCACTTATCCCTATTGATATTTTTTATGTTTAATAAAAGGCTACTAGACACTGTCCAGTAGTAAATTTGTGGAAAAAAAAACTTTCTAACTTATATCAAGGTTTAAAAGGTTGTCATAGAATTAAAATTTTCATCATCTACTATGACTAAACAAAGGTAAAATTGAGAGGTTAAACAATTGTACTGAGTAAAATAAACTATCAAGGAGCACCATAAAATATATAACAATAACATTACGAGTCATGTGATCTCATAACTGAAGTTTGAAAAGGATAGAATGTAGTCAAATTTTACCTACATTTTATAAGTCAAATAGGTTGTTTTCAACAAGTCTTCAGCTAATAAAATAAAAGAAAAAAAAATAAAAAATTAAAGTAAATTGTTGAGCACATAAAATAAATAAAGAACTAAGGTTTACAAGGCATAGTGTCACGTCCCGCCACACCACAGTTAAATTTTGCGTCCAGATAGGGGCGAAAGGGTCTAGAGTTGAGGAGAGGTTTGCGGAGAACTCTAGAACCTTTTAGATTATTCAAGAAGGCTAGAGAATTCCTTAGAATTCGCTAGAATAATTTAGATAGTTTCCAAAGAAAGCCTTAGAATTCTCTAGAGTGTGTAGAGAATTCTAGAGAGGGGCATTTGTGTAACTATCTTAGGGACTTGTAAGTAATTTTAATTTACACTTTAGTCCTTAGGAGTTAGTATAAATAGAGATGCCCCTCATTTGCAAGGCACCATCCAACCACTCAAGTGTAAAGCATTCTCCAAAGCAATACAAAAGCCTTCTTCCAAAAACTCTCTCTTTGTTCTTTCTAAGTCTTTCCTTAAGCATTCTCTTAGCGATCTAAGTCTTAAAGGCTTCCTTGAATTTACAAGATCTTGAAAGAGTAGTGATTAAATTGTCAAGGGCCGCACGGAACTTTAGCCAACACTTTAAGTTCGTGACAATGTGGTATCAGAGCGAAGGTTTGATACTAAGGGAATGGCAACCGAAATAGACGTGAACGCCGCTAGTACCACCAACTCCGTTCGGATGGTGGAAAGAGGAACCGCAAGGGAAAAAAGCACCAAAAGAATAATGAGGAAATGCTGTTGGATCCCACACCAAGCGAGGCGCTAACATCTCATCCACCTTCGACCACCGAAGCAAGTGGCGATGAACGTGGCGAGGATCCTATTGACGTCACCGCTGGAGAAGAATGGGTCGCAAGGGTTGAAGTGGCGAGGCAGGCCGTAGAGATATTTGGCCGGCGTTTGAACGTGGTTGATGGCAAGTTTAAGACTCTTGAGGAGACCGAAAACATCCGCAAGGAGTTGGAGGGACATCAGCGGGGAGAGTTTGAGATGAAGGAGGCTATCACTTCCTTGGAGTGTCGGCTCATGGAGGCGTTGAGCACGATTGAGACCATGAAGGCCGAGATGAAAGCACTCAAGGAAGGTGGGGCAGCTGGAGGATCATCGTCGCTTGACCGAGATAGGGAGGCCAGGGTCGAGGCTCCCAAGCCACCTATGTTCAAAGGAGTCCGTGACGCGCAAGAAGTGGAGAATTTCCTTTGGCATTTGGAGAATTACTTCAAGTGCAACGGGCTGAAGAGCGACGAGAGTAAGATCAACACCGCTGTGTTGTGTCTTTCGGAGATGGCCATGCTATGGTGGAGGCGTAAGGAGGCCGAGATAGGGAAGGGGACGTGCACCATCAACACCTGGGAGCAATTCTGGGAGGAGTTCAAGAAAGCCTTCTTCCCTAACAACGTCATCTATGAGGCGAACGCAAGTTTAGGGAGCTGAAGCAAACGGGCAGCATCCGCGCATATGTGCGAGAATTCACTACCATCACGCTTCAAATTCCTAACCTCATGGATGATGATATGTTGTTCCACTTCATGGTTGGGCTGCAAAATTGGGCCAGGACGGAGTTGGAACGTCGGCAAGTCAGGACCATAGATGAAGCCATCACGCAGGCCGAAGCTTTAACAGACTTCAGGCAGGAGAAGCTCGACAGAGCCAGAGGAGAAGAGATGAGAGGTAGTCATGTCACGCCCCGAGCCTACACCCTGGGCGGGACCGGCACCTGGAGACCATTGCTGGCCCCAGGCGAACCCTTGGCCTGGCTTTCTTAACTCAGCGGAAACCTAACTCAACAGAATAACTCAACGTCATGCAAAGACATAAACAACTTAACTAATAAAAATATGGCCCAAAGGGCAACTCGAGTCTCAAAATAGAATATTTACACATATATACATATACATGGATGAGAGACTCAAAACTAACTGACTGACTGACTGTCTGACTGTCTATTGAAGCCTCTAATATACTGAGATGGATGTGGGGACAGACCCCGCACATCCTAATAGAACAAAACTAAGTACACAAAATAATTGAGTCCTCCGGAATGCAAGGAGGCTCACCACTGACTCTGGAGTGCTCAGCTGGATCAACGACGTGCAGGATGCTGATCCGGGGTACCTGTATCTGCATCATAAGACGATGCAGGCCAACTGGCATCAGTACATGGAATGTACGAATATGTGAGCTGGAAAAGCTGAACCACAACTTAAGCTTGAAAGGAGAACAAGAGATCACTTACCTTGACTCTGAACGACTCATATACGTAATTGGACTCAAAGTAAAGCAATAAGACACGAGCCATACATATAAAGCTTGTAAAAGAATGTAAACAACTTAGATCGTTAAGGATAAAATGATAACAAACTCAACTTTTCTTTTATAAACATAATACAGCTTTTGTGGGAGGTTCTTTAACCGACAACCACCACTACGAGCCTTAGTGATGATACAACGTTTTACCTCACGTTGCCAAAGGACCATCCTATACCTTGCCATCGATATAGGACCTTACTTTTGCTTAGTGGATCCACTAGCCTAATCTCACGTGATCATCTAAAAAGAATGATACGTCAAGTCCCATGTTGGCGCATGGTTCTTATGGAGAGTCGAGTTAATATGAACTCGTGTCCCCAATTCGGTGCTCAATACTACTCCCAAAAATACTTCGGCTCATGCTTTTAAAATAACTTCTTTCTTTGATCGAGACGATTACTCAAAACTTAGCCCAAAGGCTCTTTTGGAAAACATGGCTCCTTTCTTACTTAAATGTAAAACAATTTAGAACTTCTTTGGGAAGTACATAGTTCCCTAATAACTTTGGAGAAATGGACTCGACTCTTTACTCCTTACTTTACTTAAACTCTTTACTTTTGACTTGACTTGAAACTCTTAACTCAACTTGAAACTTGAAACGACGTTAAGATGTTCAGTAACGACTCTTGAAAAGCTTTAAAGACTTGCTTTGACTTGCTTAACTTCTAAGCTTGGTCCTAACTCCACTTGACTTCTAACTTCACTTGACTTGATCCTAACTTTCTTGAATTTAATTATGGATTCAAGGACTTGATTGGTATTTGGAAGGACCCCATAGTGTTTAGGAATGATTTGGGACAGCCAAACTAAAGAAAATCTTCGAACATAAATTCTGAAAACAGTGGAGTCCGCGTCCTGTCCGCGACGCGGAGCAGATTTTGTTCACAGAGGGAACAAGTCCGCGACGCGGACGTGCTCCTCGCAAGCTGCCCGACTTTCTCCTTCACGTCTCCAACTCTAAATCCTCTAACCTCAGGGGTTCCAGCCCCAATCACTTAGAAAACATAATATCCCTCAACATTCAATAGAATACCACTCAAAAACACAATCCAATCATGTTCCACAACCCACAATAATTCCAACAACAACAACAAACAACTTTAACAACATAACCAAACCTTTCTTAATGAATAAAAGGGGCTAGGTGTGTGGGGGAAAGGATCACCCACCACTAAAAGCTCACATACCTTGTTAGGGATCACCCCCGACGAAAATCCACGATGATCTCCTCGATTTTCCTCTTCTTCTTCTCCTCTTCTTCTCTTCTTCCTCTCTTCTTCACTCTCAAGCCCTAGCCTTCACTCTCTTAGAATGGAACAAAATGATCCAAAGATCAGCCCTATACAACAATATAATCCCAAAAGAATTGGCTAGGGAAAAGACTAAAATGCCCTTAATGATTCCCGGACGGATTTCCTTGTCAACTGCCCAACTTTCAAAGGCCCCAACTCGCTCATACGAACTCGGAATTGAGCAAACTCGGCGGCGTTGGAAAGATCGTTCCAAGGGCTATGCAACCATAACTGGAAATACTTCTAACTCATCATGAGCTATAAGTTACGACTGATCAAAGTTGGCCAAAAACTCACCTTTTCCATACTTAGCCAAAAAATTTCCAGATTTTTAAATCCTTTCCAAAAATGAAAATTTCCAATTCTAAGCCTCTTCAATTATTTCACATTGCCGGATGTTACAAGTCATGACCATGGTGGGGAGATCGTGGCAAAGGTGAGGAGCAGCGGCTACATCCCAATAAGCATGACACCTACAAGTCCGATAGCAAGATGTCTGGACATCATGGCAACACGGAGAGGAAGACAGAGGTTGCCAACAAAGGTGGTTGCTACATATGCGGCGGGCCGCATGGTTATGCAAGGTGCCCCGAACTGAAGAGCCTTGGTGCTATCCTGCGAGAGTGGAAGGAGAAAGACGCCCAGGAGCAAGGACAAGGCACAGAGACGACGCAGTTGGGCTTGATAGGACTATGCGGAGCCATCACAAATCAACCAGAGAAGCCAAGAGGATACGGCGCGCAATATGTCGACCTTAAGATCAATGGAAAACCCGCTTGTGCTTTGGTCGACACGGGTGCAGAGGTCAATCTCATGACTAAAAAGGCAGCAACGAGGTTGGGGCTGAGTGACAGTTCAAGCAATGCCCAACTCAGGACGGTCAATGCACCCCCGACTCCTGTGAACGGAGTCGCGCATGGAGTGAGCATCACGCTAGGCGAGTGGCAAGGTAAGGCCAACTTCACTGTCGCTCCTTTAGATCTCTTTGACATAATTCTTGGGCAGGAGTTCTTCCAGCAGTGCCATGCGGTGATCGATCCCTACCTCCAACGACTTCTAGTCATGGAGCAAGGAAGATCATGTATGGTGCCCATGATCAAGGTGCTGAAGACGGAAGGACAAGTCCGCCTAACGTCCATGCAGCTCGAGAAAAACCCTAAGAAGAAGGAGTCGATGTCTAGAGCCACCATTGCAAGTTCGAAGAAGGACAATGGTGCAAGAAGGTCCTTGCCACCGTGCATGAAGAAGGTGCCAAAAGAGAACAATGTCGTGATGCCAAAGAAGCCGCCGAGGCTCTTGCCTCCTAGAAAGGAGGTAGACCGAAAGACTGAGCTAGAAGCGATATGGAAGACGTTGAAGGCGTTGCGCAAGGGCCTTAATCGAGTCAATGGACTATTGGTCGCGCACGCACAAGGCTCGGATGACGATGTAGCAGCAATGCGACGCGGTCGTCGCATCAATAGGTGGGGGAGAGTGTCACGTCCCGCCACACCACAGTTAAATTTTGCGTCCGGATAGGGGCGGAAGGGTCTAGAGTTGAGGAGAGGTTTGCAGAGAACTCTAGAACCTTTTAGATTATTCAAGAAAGCCAGAGAATTCCTTAGAATTCTCTAGAATAATTTAGATAGTTTCCAAAGAAAGCCTTAGAATTCTCTAGAGTGTGTAGAGAATTCTAGAGAGGGGCTTTTGTGTAAATATCTTAGGGACTTGTAAGTAATTTTAATTTACACTTTGGTCCTTAGGATTTAGTATAAATAGAGGTGCCCCTCATTTGCAAGGCACCATCCAACCACTCAAGTGTAAAGCATTCTCCAAAGCAATACAAAAGTCTTCTTCCAAAAACTCTCTCTTTCTTCTTTCTAAGTCTTTCCTTAAGCATTCTCTTAGCGATCTAAGTCTTAAAGGCTTCCTTGAATTTACAAGATTTTGAAAGAGTAGTGAGTAAATTGTCAAGGGCCGCACAGAACTTTAGCCAACACTCTAAGTTTGTGACAATAAGCTGAAATGAGAATGTGATTAGCACCCAGTACAATAAGGAATTATAATTCATTATATCTCAACTAGTTTCATTTTAAGAAAAGTAATTACTTAACACAATATGTTAACCGTATATTTGTATCATCAAACAAAAGATCTTTTATAAAACTACTATCAATCATTATTATTTAAAAATGTCATGTAAAGTGAGAAATTCTTATATTAGTTTTTTTTATTGTTTTAAATGTTAGTTTCAAGAATTCTTGCAGAAACAAAAGCTTACTTCTGGGTTACTAAGGGAGATTCAAATCTCATTAGGCTATCAACAAAGTAAGATGACTTACTTTTTGTTCTATTTTTTTAAAAAAAAATGTTGAGCAAGATAATGATAGCATTAATTCCTTCGGTGTACATCTCACCCAAAACAAAATACTAGAAAACATGCATAAGTTGTCAGCTCATATCTATCTCCGCCCCTCGATCGAACAAACATGGTCGTTCCTCAGACTCCTGCACCCATATTCCTAAACAAACTTTTTCTTCTAATAATAGCTTATTATAGTTTCTCAAGTGGTCAACTAATTTAAAAGAATTACGAATCATGTGTATATATATAACATTGCCACAAATAACATTGAAATTAATCATTCCTATCAAATTTTATACCAACTTTTCATTCAAAAAGGGATAAAAAGAAAACGACACAGAAAACAATTGATCTAATGTTTGCAACATTGATGAGCATATATGCATATGTAAATCTATATGTATGTCTACGTTGATAAATTATGAAAAAATAATAATAGTTAAGGTATGTTCTGGCGAATAGTTGGTGATTGTTTAGATAGGAAAAGTCAACATTAAATATTTAAGTGTATTTTTTTTATCATTTACTCTAGTAAAAAGTATACACCAGCATATATAGATTATCTTTTGAAAAAAGATTCTCATATTTACCAGCCTTACCTATTTTCGTTATGAAAAACTGGGAATTCGTGTATTTGTTAACATTCCTTGTTTGGAATATGGTGTTTGTTGTACTAGTACCACGTTGCATTGTAGTTAATTTTCTTTTCTTCTAGCTAGAAGTTTCAAGATTTAAAGTTATTGTAGTGCTTCCTAAACCAGAAATCACAATGATATAATGATGTCAATCTATATATTTGTGTTTTGCTATGTACAAAGTTTACATGAAACACATCAATTTAATGAAACAATTATTTTCAAATAATCAACTATCCCTTTTTTATTTCATTCATACTAACTTGAAGGAAAGACAAAAAAAATAAGCAGACAACTATTTTTTTTAAAAGGAAAAGTTCAATAAGAATATAAAAAATAAAACTTTCATGTGCTCCGTGATTTCAACACAACATACAATGACATCAATATGTATATTTCTAAATTGGGTATATCTTTAATGTACATTTAACGCACCAGTATAATAAAAAAAATGTTTCAAGTGATTCTTTCCTTTCCCTCGTTAAAAGACCCAAAAAAAGTATGAAAACCCAATAAGAAGACATACAATCACATGCGTTTTTCAAAGAATAATAAAAATAAATTTAACCAAAATCTATTCAACTCTATAAAAGATGTCTTGATTTCCCGAAAGATCTATGAAAAACACATAAGGAAATATATTCATGTAATGTATTGAATTGACAAACACCACATGTGAAGTTCAAATAGAGACCATCAAAAGTTGCAAGAACCATAATTTATAAATTAGAAAACAGTATTTTAGGTAACACTTTCATCTACACTAAAATAACTATCCAGAGGTTAATACTAAATTAAAACATTGAACTGAAACAAACCAATTATAACCCCTACTTCACATCGAAAATTGTAACCCTCTCCTTTTGGGAGCTCGTGAATTGCAAAATAGTGACTTTCATCATATACATAATACTCAAGTCATACATATCTTTAAAACCATAAAACAACATTAATCATAAAATTGAGAAAAAAACATACCAAAAATTATACTTAAAAAATAATGACTGAAAGTCACTCTAAAACTTCAAATGAACGAATATGTAAATTGTGTTCTGTTTAGAGTAACTTCCAAAATAAAATAACGATCTATATCTCAATTAAAATAAAATCTAATGCAGAAAATCACCGCCAACAAAGAATCCCTCAACATGGATGCAATCAAATTTAAATTTTAAAAAAGAATGAACAACTTACCTGAATGAAAAGATTAATGAAATGACGAGTTTCAAGGGGATGAACTCCTCAAGTAGATCTGCAAATCACTAGAACTGAAGAGCAAGAATTAATTTGGGTTGAAGGTAGATTTTTAAGAAATGATACACTCGAGGAGAACAAATGTGTGTAGGGGGAGGTGGAGGGCGAGGGCGGAGGGGTGGGTGATAGAGAAATTTGAAAATTAATAGAACTAAGGCACACAAAATTTCATCAACCGATACAATTGCGGTGTTTTTTTTTATCTGCCAAACAATTTAAATTGAGATGCATGATAAATAAATTTGCAACTAGGATGATGATGTAATTAAATATCTTCCAGTACAGGACAAAATAGTGAAATCTGTAGATTACACTTTGATTATCATAGTCCAAAACTTCTTTCATTCCTTGTGACATTAGCTATTTACATGCCACCCTCCAAGATATGTATTTGATATCTTTCTAGAACATGTTTGTTTTTATCTATTTTTGGAATTTTGAAAGTATTATTCACATGACCGCTACAACATGAAATATTAAGAATTTGTTGCATTGAGTTTTTGTATTTTTCTCTTTTCTTTAACTGAAACTTTTCGCCATTGATTCATAGATCTTCATTAAAAAGTTCACTACACTTAGTTTGATCTAGTTAAAAGATGAGTTCCTTTTTTATTTCCTTTTTATCAATTGGTATAATCTGTATTTTGAAAAACTTAATCTGAACAAAATTTTCAAAGTTTCTCCATATATATTAAGCATATGGTGCAAAACTATACACACCCATTCACTTAAAAAATATTGTTACTCAAGTTATCTTATACCAATAGTTTTCTTCTTTTATGTTTTAAGTTCATCAATTCATGTTGATAATGATAAAAAAAATCAATGACATAATAAATCTCAAGCTATATTGAAACTTCTTATAAAGTTTAGCAGTTAACAATAGGAGTTCGTCAGTAAAATTAACTTTCTACTAACTTCCTCTTCCTTCGATACTCCACTCACATAAACAGAGCAATATATCACAAAAATAAATCAATGAACAACATTCAATAAGTGTTCTAAGCACCTCACAAACAATTGTTACCATAAAAAAATGTATATTGTAATTTCAGAGATGAAAAAAGAAAAGTCGCTACACACAGTTCCACCAATGACACCATGTTTCTCACAATCAGAAGACTACAACATCCAAATCTGGTAATGCCTCAATCGGTACGAACAAGAACACACTGGGCCAGTCTTCGATTCATGTTCCATGAAAATATCTTTAAGAATATCACGATCCAAAATCAAGTTATGGTGACGCCTACTATAAATCTCCCGGTAGGCAAGTCAAAATCTAAAACTCATAGAAGATAATAATTTAATAGAAAAGAATAAATGCAAATAGAATAATAATAATATTACATAATAGGTCCATATACAAATGTAACTGTGATGTATAATATACAAAATAGGCTCGAATGTGACCATGAAAGACAAACTAAATACAAGAATTAAATCCCTGGACCTGGTTTCACAGGTGCAGGAACATCTAAGTAAATAAAGGCTATATACGCAAGTCTATCTAATAAAAATATAAAAATATAGACAAATACAAAAAAAGTGTAACATCTCGCAATTTGAAATAACTAGGAAGAAGCTTATAATTGGAAACAGTCTTTTTTTTGGAAAGAATGAAAATCTGGAAATTTTGTTTAAGTTAGAATAAGTTGAGTTTTGGTCAACTTCAAACGGCCATAACTCCAAGATCAGGATGAGTTAGGTGTATTTCCAGATATGGTTGGAAAGCTCTTGGAATAAAATTTCCAATGCCACTGAGTTTGCGCGATTCCGAGTTTGTATGAGTGAGTTATGCCCTTTGGAAGTTGGGCTGTTTGAATAAGGAAAGCCTAATCCGGATTTGGAAGGGTAATTTAGTCTTTTCCTTACCTAATTATTCTAATTCATTTTTAGGAGTTAATTGGGGTAAAAATCAGATTTTAGCCAGTTTAGAAAAGCTGAAGTTTCACGCTAGGGCTTGGAGAAAAGAGAAAAGAAGAGAATGGAGAAGAGGAAAAGCAAGATTCGCCAAGAACGATCGATTTTGGTTATGGATTTCGCCAAGGAATTGATCCTACAAGGTATGTGAGTCTTTCGTAGTGTTGGGTTCGTTCACCCACGCGCCAAACATGTTTATTTCAACGAAATTCGTCCTAAAAGAGTTTGAAAGTTGATGTTCTTGATAGGTATTCTTGAATTTGAACGCCGTTCTTGAATTGGGCTGAATTGAGGAGTTTCTGAGATCTTTACGTTGAGTTTTAGAGTTGTTTTGAGTTAGGTTCTTGAGTACATATGTTGGGTACTTGAATCTAAAATAAATTTGAGAACAATAGTCGAGTTTAGGCGAATTGGGGCTGGAAAACGAAGAAGGAAAAAGTCAGACAAGGAACAGGTTCTAGGTCCGCGTCACGGACCTGTTCCTTCAGGGTGAAAATTTTCTCTCCGCATCGCGGAGAGGCCGCAGACTCCTCTGTTTCAAAATTAAATTTTGCGATCAATTATTTAAAAGCATTTCCGTGTCGCGGACTTGTTCCAAGATGGTGGTTTCTTGATCGTTTCTCGTGTTTAGCTATCTAAAATCATTTTTGAACATCATGAGATCCTTCCTTTCACAAATCACAATCCTTGAATCCATAATTCAATTCAAGGAAAGTTAAGAGTCAAGTCAAGAGAAGTTAAGAGTCAAGTCAAGAGAAGTTCATAAAGTTTTCAAAAGTCTTTTACAAATGTTTTAACTTTGTTTTAAGACTTAAGTTTTGAGTTGAGTAAAGAGTAAAGAGTAAAGATTGAAGTCATTTCTTCAAAAGAGTATATCGGGACTATGTATTCCGAAAGATTAAATGTTTTCACATTTAAACAAGAAAGGAAACTGAGATTTCCAAAGGAGCCTTTGTGCTAGTTATTTTTCAAGTATAGAGGAAAATTTAATTTCCAAAAGAGCCTTTGAGCTAGTTTTTCAGTAAAGAGGAAACTGAGATTTCCAAAAGAGCTTTTAAGCTAAGTTTTGAGTAATTATCTCAAACCAAAGAAAGAGTTTTGTTTTTACAAACATATGAGATAAAGTATATTTTGGGAGTAGTATTGAGCACCGATATGGGGACGAGCTTGAGTTCAGATAACTCACGTCTCCATAAACCATGTAGCCATCATGGGTAGTAAATGATCATACTTTTTAGATGACTCCTTAAGATGCTTTTAGCATAAGCTAGTGGATCCACTAAGTTAAGCGTTCTATATGACAACAAAGTATAGGATAGTTCTGGCAACGTGGGCAAGACGCTGTATCACCACTTAGGCTCATAGTGGTGGTTGTCGGTTAAAGAAACTCCCACAGAAACTATATTACTTTGTTATATGAGTAAAGTTTAGTTTGTTATTGCATTTTCTTTAACGAACTAAGTTGCTTTTACTATTTTATAAAGCTTTTCATATATTGCATGTGTTTCATTGCTTTATTATGAGTTGAGTTATTCATGAGTTGAGAAGAGCCAAGGTAAGTGTTTCTTTCAGAATCTTTTCAAGCCTATGTTATGTTTAGCATTCCAACTCGCATACTCATACATTCAATGTACTGAGGCCAGTTGGCCTGCATCGTATTATGATGCAGATGCAGGTAACCAAGATCATCATCCAGCGCCTCGTTGATCAGGTTCAACACTCAGAGTCTATTGGTGTGCCTCCTTGCATTCTAGAGGACTACTTTTACTTTTCTTTCAGTATATTTATTGTTAGGATGATCGGGGGTCTTGTTTCGACATCCCTCTTTGTTTTAGAGGCTTTATAGATAGATAGACAGTTAGTAGTTCAGTTGTCTTTACATTATCATTCAGATGTTGTTTAAAGACTTCAGTTTCCGTTTTGGCTAGGTTTTATATCACTTTAAGTTATATTTTGAGGTTATCTTGTTAAGTTAAGTCTTCCGCTGAGTAAGTAAGCCAGGCCAAGGGTTCACTTTGGGCCAGCAATGGTTCTCGAGTGCTAGCCATTCCGGGGTGTAGGCTCGGGAGGTGACAAAAAGGAAAAACAGAAAGCCTCCGGAAGTCAAGAGCTCACCACAATATGAATCTGCAATGACGAAGGGAGATCCAATGCTCATTGAGGGTGTCTTGTACTAAGAGCTACATCAGAAAAAAGATGCAGAAGTATAGTATCAGTACCAAAATATGGGGTACTCAATAGGTATCATAGACAGACCGAACTCAGAAATATTATATATATAAAGAAGAAGCACGATAGTTCTAACATCGCAATTAAAAGGTTCTATGAGGGACAATCAACTATTGAAAATATAGAGAATGAAACACAATTAAACAAGCAAGAAGTACTCAAGTACAAAACTGTCACAACAAATATCAAGTCGATCAAAATAGGCTAGTGCAATGCAAATGATCAATGCATAAAGGTAGAAACATGGCCGACTCAACATGATTGGAGGCATAAAGAAAAAATTAAAGGTGGGGCCCTAATATTTTATTTTTTTCATCATATATGCTTTTATTTAAAATCTACTTTTCTAGCTTTTTTATATGCAAAATCATTAGTTATTGTTTGATAATCGATTTGTTTTAATATTTCCTTTTCAATTTAGAATATAGTTAGTCCATTCAATCTCTCGTGAGACATTGCTGATTTAAATAAGATTTAATCAATTCTAGTTTCGAAAAACTTCTTTCGGCTGAGGCAACGGTTGGAGGAACTGTTAATATTATAATATAAGCAATATGTGTATTTGGAAAAGGATCAAGTCTTTTATTTGATTGAGTATTTTCATTAGATCATTATCGTCTACCTGTATTATTTCTCTTAGCATTTTAAATCAAAATATAAATCTAAACCATCAATAGCAAAATAAATATTATGTGTTAAGAAAGTTCAAGGATAAGACAATATTTTTAAAAATTCTCATCATCTAGTGATCTCAATTCACCACTAATTAAGAAACCATAATTATTTTCATATGCTTCAATTGGTTCAAATCTATTTTGAAGTGAAAAAATAATTTGATCTACTATATTATATATATATATATATAAATTAATCATCTCTAATTTCAAAGGATTTCTTATCAATATCTTCATCGAATTGTTTCTTACTAAATTCAGATTCAATATTCATTTCATATGCAATTTCTTTAGTAGAGATCATAGCACTCATAGTACATATATATATTTTTTAAAAATAACATTTATAAGTAATTTTTTCTAACAAAAATGAGGCCCCCAAAAATATGGGGCCCCAAGCGTTGGCTTTAATGGCCTAGGGGTTAATACGGCCCTAGGTAGAAACCCGAAAGAAACCTTGATCTTCCTAGAATGATACTTCAGACTCATCAACAAATGCAATGTAGTAAAACATAACCCGTATCTGAGTCAACGGGCCGTCCAGAATGATACCTCAAATTTATCGGTGCAAAAGTGAACCAATATGTACACCACAATCATAAAACCAATATCTACCATTTTAAGTCATAAAAACTCCAAAATAATGTATATTCCCATAAAAACATAGTTTCCTTAATTAAAACAGTGATCCGCTCCTTCGGAAATCAACAAGTGGAGGAAAACTTACCATACGAAACTACACAGCTCCACCGGAAAGTAAAGGTACATTGACTCCCTAACTGATTAAAAAACATATCGACCACAATATTTTCAACTAACATTTAATAAGTTCACTGTCAAATTAATAGGTACATAACATAAAACCTTGATAGAAATCAAGTCCCAAGCTAGATCACTATATTTCATGTCATTCAACACAATTTTTTTTTACTTCCTCATACTGTGCATAACATAAACAGTTGCATACACATTACTGTATTTATATAACTACTACCAAAGTTATAAAGGTCTTATCATTTATCATAAAACATAAACAAAGTGCTTAGATTGAAATTATATTTAAAAGATCTAGTTATAAATTCTAACTTGGAGTTCTTAAATTGCCAATGCAATCCTTTTGCAGAGTGGACAAGAATTCTTCTGCATGAGCCATAAACTGATGCAATCAACGTGAAAGGTGTGCTGACAGTCGGCGCTTCCAATGATCTGTCCATCAGAGTTGTCATCCTGCAAAATGGAAAAAAGTATTTTTCGAGTAAGATAATTTAACATACATGACTAGAGTTTAAGCAGTATGAGGAGAGAATCAAATGAAAATAAGTCCTTACCAAACAAATAAAACATGTATCATCGTCACTTATAGATCTTTCTGTTGACTGATACATGATGCGATTCATACGTGCAAAAATGACTTCCTTGCTCAATCCCGTATTGACATTTTCAGTTTGGTCTGGAAGGGCCAACAAACCCTAAATTCAAGATCATAATTTGTGAGAATACATATTCAAAATATTTTTTGTCCCTTGTCATAACACTTAAACTTAAAAGTTTGAGACATGGAATTTTATGCCAGAAATGACACATACAACTTGTTATAATTTCTAAGCAAGTAAATTTTACAAATCAATTATACATAAAGAAAAATCAACTAGCTATGAATATTTTATAAAATACAACAAAATCATTATTATTTAAAAATATCATGTCAAGTGATAAATTCTTCTATTCTTCTTTTTTATTTATTTTTTTAAATGTATGTTTCAATAATTCTTGCAGAAACAAAAGCTTACTCCTGGGCTACTAAGGAAGACGCAAATCTCATTAGGCTATCAACAAAGTAACTTGACTTAAATTTTGTTCTTCTATTTTTTCAATTTTTTTTTGAACAAGATAATGATAACATTAATTCCTTTCGGTGTATATCTCACCCAAAACAAAATATCAGAAAACATAAGTTGTCAGCTCATATCTATCTTTATTCCTCGATCGAACAAAGCTATTTGATCCTATATTTAAATGCGTACTCATTGTGGTCGTCACTCAGCTTCCAGCACCCATATTCCTAAACAAACTTTTACTTCTAATAATAGCTTATTGTTGTTTCTCAAGCGATCAATTACAAGCCTTACCCATTTTCGTTATATTTAACAAATATTCAAGTATTAGAAAATAGGCATATGAAAAAGGAAAATAGAAAAATTTATAGCATATTTTAGTTGGGCACCATGGTTCCTCAGCATAAAAGCAAAGTAGCACTTATTACTATGAAAATTTAACAACTAATACAATTCAATCATTAAAAGCATAAGTGCATCAAACGTTAAAAAATAATTACCTCTAAATATTAAAAATATACTTTTGACATGATAAGTTTAAATTAGTAATTAGATCAGGTATTGAGCATTAGAAAACTAATTATGTGAAGATTGGAATAAATTTATAATTAAAAAGAAAAGAAAGAGAAGGCGAAAGAAAATTTACCATGGGAAAATTGGTAAGACATAGTGGCAATGTCATACGATCAAATGCATGATTCACTTATGCAAATCTTGGGTTGTAGTTCCATAAAATACGCAGTAATGATAATGAAAAATTGGGAATCAGTGTATTTGTGAGCATTCCTTGTGGAATCCAAAAGGAAAAAGGATTTCTTGGAACAATGGAAACATAGTATATGTTTGTTCCATTAGCCAAAACAACAATTAGGCTCCCATCAAAGGAATAATAAATTCCCAAAATATTGGGTACCATACTAATAAGATGGGATTCTAGTCTTATATAGAATATTCTAGAGCAATGTGTAGCAGAAGTCATAGTTCTTACAGAACCAAAATCAAAAGTGGCCTCATTTTGAAATATGGTGTTTGTTGTACTAGTACGACGCTGCATTGTTGTTGATTTTTCTTTTCTTCTAAAAGTTTCCTGATTTAAAGTTGTTGTAGTGCTTCCTAAACTTGAAATCACAATGATATAATGATGCCAATTATATATTTGTAATTTGCTATGTACATAGTTTACATGAAACACATCAATTTAATGAAAAAATCTTTTCAAATAATCAACTATCCTTTTTTGTTTCTTTCATACTAGCTTGAAGGAAGGACACAAAAAATAAGTAGACAACTATTTTTTTTAAATAGAAAAAGTTCAATACGAATATAAAATATAACTTTCAGGTGCTCCGCGATCTCAACACAACATACAATGGTATTAATTTATATATTGCTCAATTAGGTATATCTATAATGTATAATGAAAAAAATGTTTCAAGTGATTACTAGTGATTCTTTCCTTTCCCTTTATTAACACTAGAAGGAAAAACCTTGAAAGAAGTATGCAATACAAATAAAAAGACATACAATCACATGCTTTTTCAAAGAATATTGAAAATAGCTTAACTAAAATCCATTCAACTCTATAAAAGATATTTTAATTCCCTGGAAGATCTATGGAAAACACAAAAGTATATATATTCTTGTAATTTATTAACAAACGCAACTTGTGAAGTTTAAAAAGAGACCATCAAAAGTTGCAAGAACCATAGTTTATAAATTAGAAAACATCATTTTAGGCAACACTTTCATCTACACTGAAATAACTATCAAGAGGTTAATACTAAATTAAAACACTGAACTGAAACAAATAAACTATACCCCCTACTTCACATCGTAAATTGTAGCCCTCCCCTTTTGGGAGCTCATGAATATACATAAACAAAAGAAGGTTTCATTTGAGTTGCGAAATAGTGACTTTCATCCCATACATAATATTCAAATTACACATTGTCACGACCCGAGTCTACACCCTGGACGTGGTCGGCACTCAAGAACCATTGCTGGTCCCCAAGCGAACCCTCATCCTGGTTGACTACAAGCGGAAGACTAACTTAAGCATGCAAAAGCTTAAAACTGAATAAAATTCAATAAACTCAACTTTTCAAAACTTTAACTCAAATGAACAACTTAGAATAAAAATAATATGTTCAACTTGCCATAAAATAGGCAACTTAAATCTTTAAAACATTTAATAAAATAAATGAATAATACAAACTTCTCAACTATACTGACTATCTATGAAGCCTCTAACTGATAAAGATGGAAGTCGGGACAAGACCCACGACATCCTAACTAAACTGAAAAGTAAATGAAATTCTCCGGAAACAAGGAGGCTTACCATAGCTAACTTGAACTCCCGGATGTATGAACAAAGCTCATGTTGATGACCCTGAATACCTGTGTCTGCATCATGAGAAGATACAGGTCAAATAGCTCAGTACGTGGAATGTACGAGCATGTAAGAGGAATTCTAAAGTATAAACATAAGCTTGAAACTTGATAAAAAGGAAACATACTTACCTCTTCTCAAACTCACTCAACTCAAGGAATACTCAAGGGTATTCAAAACTACTCAAACTTAATCAACTCAAAAGTACTCAAGGATAAGATACTCGACTTCAAATATATGATACTCGACTCAAAGATTAGATACTCAACTTCAAAGATATGATACTCGACTTGAAATACTCAACTCATGAATACTTAACTGAACTTATTTCATTATAAAGCAGTTTAAAACAAGTGCAATATAAAGAAAAGGAAAACTGCTTAAAACATGATGTCAACTCAAAGTCATAAATTACTATAAGACATACCATGCTCCATCTCAAAGTCTACTTGTGCAATGCATGAATAAAGTCCCATACCCCCATTCATACTAAGCAAAACCCCTTGAGGAACTATGCAATTACTGCTGTGGGAGTTTCTCTAACCGACAACCATCATTTAAGAGCTATAGTGATGATACAACACTTTATCTCATGCTGCCAAGGACCATCATATACCTTGCCATCAATATAGGACCTAACTGAATTTAGTGGATCTACTAGTCTATGTGAAAATGATTCATCTAAAAAGTATGACCCTTTTCTACCCATGATGGCTACATGGTTTATGGGGGCTGATAGTTGTATGAACTCTTCCCCATATAGGTGCTCAATACTACTTCCAAAATATACTAGCTCTTTATGTTTTGAAAACATACTCTTTCTGTGATTTGAGATTAGTGCTCAAAAACTTAGCTCAAAGGCTATCTTGGAAATCAAGGTTTCCTTTATTGTTTAAATGTGAAAACATTTTAAATCTCTTTGGGAATAGTTAGTCCCCATATACTTTTGAAGAAATGAACTTCAACTTTTACTCTTTACTGAACTCAAAACTTAAGTCTTAAAACAAAGTTAAAACATTTGTAAAAGACTTCTTAAAATATGGTTCATGTCGAATTATGGACGTGAACGACTTGATGCAAGGTTTTCAATAACCATATATAGATCTCAATACTTGGAACTCAAGAACTTCAATGATACTACTAATTTCAAGAATGCTCAACTCAGAGGGTTCATGCGGAATTATGAGCATGAACTACTCAACTCAAGGACTCAAAGCTACTTCTCATCTCAATATTGATCAACTTATAATGTTCATGCAGAATTATGGGCATGAACAACTCAACTCATGGACTTCATGGGTAATACGTAATAGTCCCATGATTAGGATTATAATCTCGGAAGGGTTAGGACCTCGATACTCAAGACATAGAACTTGAAGATACTACTCCTTTCAAAGATACTAAACTGATGGAGTTCATGCAGAAGTTATGGGCATGAACGACTTGACTCAAGAGTCAAAATATCAATAAGGAACTCAGGTATACGACTCTTTTCATTCTCATACTTACTTCTCAAAACTTAACTCAAATCTGTGGCATATCAAAGGATTCACAATTGAACTCAAAGACTTTCTTGAACTCTACTATTAACTCTCTCTTGAATGTGAATTATGAATTCAAGAGTTATGGTTTATGATACGAAGGATCTAGGTGATAGTGTAGACTCATGAATACATTATTCTCACTCTCATACTCACTTGCTCGAGTCTTGAAACAAGTTATTAGAATTTGTAGAAGACTCTTCAAAAAGACAAAAAGGGATTTTCTAAAAAGTGTTCGAAAGAACTCTCAAGACTTGACTCTCAACTCTACCTTGAATGTGATTTATGAATTCAAGGTTGAGATTTGTGATAGGAAAGGTCTCATGATGTTTAAAAATGATTTTGGATAGCTAAACATGAGAAATGGTTAAAAAAACACTGTCTAGGGAACAAGTTCGCGATGCGGAGAGAAAATTTTCACCCTGAAGGAACAGGTCTGCGATGCGGACCTGGTACCTGTTCCTTGTCCGACTCTTTCTTCCTTGCTTTCTAACCCCAATTTGCCTAGAATCGAACGGTTTCTTCCCCAATCACTTGGATTCGATTACTTAACATAAGTACACTCTAATCTACTCAATACAGCCCTCAAACACTCACTTACATCTCAAGAAATCATCAAAACCCCCAACACAACAAGATTTAGAATGAACTTCAAGAACACCTATCAAGAACTCATCAAGAACTCTAATCTTTCAACTTCAAGAATGAAATTTGCGTTGAAAATAACATGATTGGCACGTGGGTGAACAAACCCAGCACTATGGAACCTTACATACCTCTTAGGGATCAAAACCATGGCTAAAATCTGCAACAACATGCAAGAATCTCGACGAATGCTTGATCCTCTCCTCCTTTCTCTTCTTTTCTCTTCTTGAACTCTCAACTAAAACTCTAGGCGTATATTAGGATTACAAAACTGAACCTAATAGGATTAGACCCCTTAAATATTACTAAAAAAAATTAAATCTGTTTGGGTAAGGAAACGACCAAAATACCCCTCACTATTTTCGGCTAACTTTCCTTAATTGGACAACCTAACTTCAAAAGGCCATATCTCACTCATCCGAACTCGAAACTGAGCAAACTCGGTAGAGTTGGAAAGATAATTCGAAGAAATTTCCTAAGGTATCTGGTAGCACACCTTAATCATCCTAATCTAGGAGTTATGGTCGACCCAAAACTCATACTTAGCTTAACTTGCAAAATATCAGATTTTGCTATTTCCAATTCGATTCTTTTTGTAACTCAATGTGCTACATCTGGTGACCTAACCTTAATACTTAAGAAATTTTTAATTCCTTGCAAAAATCTCACTCACTACGAAGAACGGTTCGAGTCTTAGTTCAAAAAAATTTCTAGGTTGTTACACATATATCTTTAAAACCATAAAACAACATTAATCATAAAATTGAGAAGAAAAAAAAATCAAGAATTATACTTAAAAAAAATGAATATTGAAAGCCACTCTAAATCTTCAAAAGAACGAATCTGAATCGTGTTCCATTTAGAGTAACTTTCAAAATAAAATAACGATCTATATCTCAATTAAAATAAAAGCTAATGTAGAAAATCACCACCAACAAAGAATCCCTCAACATGGATGCTATCAAATTCAAGTAAAAAAGAAAAAGAAAGAATAACTTACTTGAATGACAAGATTTATGAAATGACGAGTTGTGAAGGGAGGAACTCCTCAAGTAGATCCGCAAACCACTAGAACTGAAGAGAAATAATTGATTTGGGTGGAAGACAAGTTTTTATAAAATGATACACTCTAGGAAAACAAATGTGTGAAGGGGGGGGGGGGGGAGGAGGGGGAGGGTGGTGGGGGAGGGGTGGTTATAGAGAAATTTGAAAATTGACAGAATTAAGGCACAAAAAATTTCATCAGTCGATACAATTGAAATATTATTTTTTTAATCTGCCAAGCAATTTTAATTGAGATACATGATAAATAAATTTGCAACTAGGGTGACGATGTAATTAAAAATCTTTCAATAGAGGACAACATAGTGAAATCTTTAGATTACACTTTGATTATCATAGTCCAAGACTTCTTTTCATACCTTGTGACATTAGCTATTCTCATGCCACCCTCTAGGATATGTATTGATATCTTTATAGAACATGTATGTTTTTATCTATTTTTGGAATTTTGCGAGCATTACTCATATGACTGCTACCACATGAAAAAATTAAGAATTTGTTGCATTCATTTTTTGTTCATATCTCCTTTCTGTAACTGAAACTTTCTGCCATTAATTCACCGGTCTTCATTAAAAAGTCCACTACATTTAGTTGGATCTGGTTAAAAGATGAGTTCCTTTTTTATTTCCTTTTTGTCAATTGGTATCTGTATTTTGAAAAACTGAATTTGAACAAAATTTTCAAAGTTTCTCCATATATATTAAGCACAGGGTGCAAAACTATACATGCCTATTCACATATAAAAATATTGTTACTCAAGTAATCTTATAATAATTTTTTTCCTCTTTTATGTCTATAAGTTCATCAATTCATGTTGATAATGATAAGAAAATCAATAACATAATAAATCTCAAGCTATATTGACAATTTTTACAAAGCTGAGCAGTTTTTTTTTTTTATAAATTTTCCCAGGTCGTCTGGAATGTTATAAATCAGGAAAAACGTTACAAGAGGGTTTGGCCTTAGCCTCCGATTACAACACAAGGATAAGCACTACTTTATCCTTCAAAAAAGAGGGGAGGTGAACCTTGAAAAATAGACAATCCAACCCTCGCAAAATCTAACTACCTATACGACTAGATAACAAAAAAAATTGCCTTATCGTATTGGGTCCTTATTGAAGACATTTAGCTCTTGTCCAGTTGAAATGAACCTTTAGCCCCCACTGTAAGTTGATGGTAGGAGTCATATAAGGATCCATTCTCACTGTTAACAACAAATTTGGGTAAAAAATTTGCTACCTCGTTAGCCTCTCTAAAACAATGCTCCACCTTGACATTAGTGTTGTTCATCTTGTATTCCTAAGATACTTAGAACAAAATTTGAAGAACTTGGTAAGACACAATAAAGTTTAAGAACATTTTCACAACTAGAAAATTAAAACTAGTAGAGAAACTAGAATCAGAAACAAATTAGAAAAAATATACGAAATATTTTTTCTTAAAGAAGAATTGTTGTCAATCTGTGTTTAAAGAATCTTACTGATTCCATCAAACTTTGCAGAAACACGAAGTTGCCAAAGTTTAATGAACCAGTGAATAGAAAAACATAAATTAATTCACAAATCTAAAATTTGTAACACATACCAGAATCTGGAAAAATAGAAGGAAGATCAAGCCCACTGAATGCACAGTGTCCCCTTAAGGAAATTATTCCCCTCTAGTATCCGAGGTTTGATTTCGAATATGTCCTCCCAGGATAGAATGATCTCAATCACCAGTGTATTGATACCCAAAACGCTGGTGTCAACGAGCCACTCAACGACAGTAAAGTACACTTAGAATACTAGATTTAGTAGTAGAAGAAGAAGTTCAGAAAAATTCTATTTTAAAATGAGAGGAAATCCCTCAATTTATAGAAAACAAAGGGTAGTGTGAAAAGGTTCTTATTGTGCCTTACCTTTTAAAAACCCAACAATTAGCGTGTTTCTTCAATTGTTGTAACTCCTCTATGATCAGGTTCAATCTGAAATTGCAGCATTTGCCTTCATTTATCATCTCCACAATAGCTAGCGAGTCCAACTCTAGTATGAAGTTAGAGTGATTTTTCTGACAACAGATGTTCATCCCGTGTTTAGCAGCCATTGCTTCTGCCTCTAGGTTACTGGCACATCGAATGTGACAGGAAAATGCCAAGACAAAATCACCTTTTTCATCTCTTAATACTCCGCCCATACCAGCACTTTCATT